GAAGGTCTTCTTCAGATAACCAAGGCTCAGGCACTTAGTGTTCCTCTCAACTCCAAGGCAACTTCATTTTTAGGCTTATATTTTGATTCATGTCTTAGGTGGATATCTTTTTTTTTTTTTTTTTACCATACACAGGTTTCAATACTAATTCTAAGGCACCTCTCTTGGCACACGGGACATCTTTCTACTCTACTCTGCACAGCTACACTTCTTCCCCATGAACCTTTGGTTGACCTGGCCTAGTGGCTTTTGACTATGTTATTTAGCAAAGGAATGGAAGAAAAGGAGAGATGGTGTTGACTAGTGGAAATGAACATTATAAAATGAGGTAAGATTGAAAGATGTAATCATGCCTGTGAGGGGAGCAGGAAAGGTCAAGTTTTTTGTTTTTTTGTTTTTTGTTTTTTTTTTTTCTGGTGCATGCAGTCAATAAGGAACTATATTTAGTGGAGGTGAGAATGCAAAGTTAAGTTGTGATGCTGTTGTTGAGTCATGAATTGATTGGAAATGAGATTCCATTGGCAGTAAGTAGGTATGAAGTTTTCACAATTGGTTTTATATTTGAGAAAAATAAACACATTGAAGAGTATAGGAAGTACAAGCATAGAATACTATTAGAATAACTCCACTGAAAAATGAGAAACTGATCTGGAATAGCACAGTAGAAGTGATATACTGATACAACTTTATCGTCTACCACATCAGTGTAACTATGAGCTTGTTTATGAAGAACTGAATTCACACATGAGATGACTTTTATTAAAGTAGAGTCAGGGCATTGGCTTGTTGTGCTGTTCTGGATGCTGTAGTTGTACCATCTGGATATATGCTTCAGGACTGGGGCAACACTCTCACTCTAGGAAGCTGCCTGTGACAGCTCACAGTTGAGTTTCTAACTGCCTAGCCAAAGGATGCTTCCTTGCTGGAGTTTATGCCTGTAGTTGAAGGGCAGTCTACATTTGGTGAACACAAAAACTAGGCCCTTACCTCTTTTTTCAATTTAGAACAACTATGAATGGCTGTTTCAGCTCCAGGGTTACACTATATGATGGCTGAGGCTTCCTCTGCAATCATGTCCTGCTTGGGACTATTCCTGCCTCCATCTTCTCATATGTTCTGATCTTGAGAGGATGTCTCAGTTCACTTCTTGTGTGCAGTCTTGGTTTCATGCCTTTTTCTAGGGACCTGGGGTTTAAGCATCTAATTCCAAATGCAGATGTTGGGAATCCTCTTCTAATATAGACTAAAATCCTTTGTTGTCATACACAGAGAATTTAATGTACAGGTAAATACAATTTCCCACACCACTCACAGGAACTAGTTCAGACATAGAGGAAATGTAGTTCTTTTATGACCACACCTGGTAAAAGCCATAATAGACTTTGTCATCTGTAGGTAGTAAAGATTTATCTTCCTCCTCTGAATCACTTTAGATACCATATAATGAATCACTTCCCATGTGATGTGTACATGAATCACTCTAGTACCATGCCCATCATTACTAGTAAGTAATACAGATTTTGACTTTTTTAGACCTAAAAGCTGTTTTAAAATGCTTTCCTTTAGCATTACTTATTTGCTTGTTAGCTTATTATTCATTGGTAAAAGTAAAATAGAAATAAATTTTTATGCAGATTTCTTGAGGTCAGGGTATGTAGTATTTTAATTTATTTTTAAATTATTTGCATATATGGGTGTTTGTGTGGGGGTATGTGCATGTGTAGGTTGCTCACAGATGCCAGAAGAGGACATTGGATACCCTGGAGCTGAGTTACAGGAAGTTGCAAGCCTCCTGAAATAGGTGCTTGGAACTGAAATCTAGTCCTCTGCAAGTGGGGTGTATGCTCTTAGCCATTGAACCGCCCCTTCACTCATGCATTTGCTTAGGATGTTGCAACATACATAGTAGGTATCAATAAAAATCTGTTGACAAAGATCAGTACATAAATAATAATATAAGATGAAACATGAGTCCATAAGAGAGCTATAGGCAGTAGAAGTGATCTATAGTGAGGTTCAATAAAAACCAACAAGCACCAGATATAAACTCACATTATTCTATCTGAACTTAATTGGAGTTAAATGTTTTAGGGCTTATTTAAACTTTTCTTTTTTATAATAAGGTGATATATTCAAACATTGAGTTTGAAGTTTGGTTTGAGACAAACAATAAGTTTCAAAGGAGGACATGGATGGATTGTTAAGCACAATGCTTCAACATAAACTCAAATAATTAGATAGACTATAAGTATTTTAGTTTAAATTATACGAATTCATTCTAATTAGTTTCCTTCTCTACATACATACATACAAACATGTATGTATGTTTATCTCTTCCTTCTTTCTTCCCTTCCTTTTCCCCCAGTCCAGTTCCTGAAATTCTGAGTCCCTTTTCCCATTCTTAGGGGAAAGAAAAGTTAGTTTAGATAGGGAAAGAAGAGGGAAGTAGTGCTCTTGTCTCAGTCCTACATGGCCTGGAGAGATTCCCAAGTGTGTTCTGGCTTTCATCCTCCTTCATTATTGCTTGTGAAAAGCATGGCCAGCAGCAGCATTTGCCAGGAACACTCCCAGGGAGGAACTGACCTAGTTTTAGCTCTAGCCCATGTCTTGGACTCCCCACAGCCAGCAATGAATCGGGACAGCTGGTTACCCTAATAACCAAAGACCTGTCTACAAATATTTGTTATATGAAAGTGATTTGGTTGACTATTGATCTGTGCTGGGTGAGGTCATTTTCTGGTTTGCTGTAGATCTTACATGAGCAAACAAATGAAATGCAAGACTTCTAGAATTATGCTGAGCTCATCACCTACAAAGACAAACCATGGAGTCATGAATGACATGGTTTAGTATATCAGTTACTTCTATTGGCTTTGTAATCAGGGACGTGCTGAGTGCATAGTGGACATTTTTCTATAATTTGTGTATAAAGAAAAACATATCCTTAGACCAGTTTGCAAAGTCCACAAGATGAGCAAGGAACAAGTCAAGAAGCTAGGGGCAAAGGGAACAAAATTACCCTCATCAAGGGTACCATCCTACACCATATTTCTCAATATTGCTCTCTGACCACTTTCACTTTTTGCCAGATTTGATTCACATCAGATTTTATTAGGTTATATATACTGGTATGGTTCTTGCTGGTAAAAGCACTTAAAGTGTAATTCGCTTTTGTTCAAATTAAAATTGAAAATGGAGACTCAACTGCAAGTCTCACAATGGGCATTTGATATCAGAATTCTGTTCATTAACTGAATAGTCCTTAGTACATCATAGGCACTGATGGGAGATGTAATTCTGTACATATGTTTCTCTTATTGGTTAACAAATAAAGCACTGTTGGCCAATAGGAAGGCAAAATAGGTGGCACTAGGAGACAAGGAGGATTCTGAGAGATGTAGGAGGAGAGTCAAGATGTAGGGGCTTGGAGAAGAGGTCTGGACCCTCTCTCCCGTAAGATAAGAACAGGTGGACACTTAGATGAATAGAAATGGGTTAATATTTAAGACAGAGCTAGCCAATAAGAAGTGCTAGTAACAGGCCAACAGCTTTATATCTAAGGCAGTGTTTCTGTGTGTTATTTGGGATTGACTTGGCTGGCAGAAAACTCAATAAATATTCCTTAAAGTGACTGTCCACAAAGAGCTGACATTGACATATCTGACTGTAAATCAAAATTATCACAAATAAAAATTGACAGACAAAACACACCAAAGAGCTGCCTGTAAATACCACAGGAGCCTCATGTTATAAAGCATTGGAAGAGTTGGTAAAATGTAAAGGAGGAGATGGTACCTCACATCAGTCAGTAATTGTGTACCAGCAACACTGAAAGCTCTAAAAGCTACTTTGAGATATAGGGACAAATGTTATCATAGTTGGATATGGAGGAGAGGAGAGGGGAGGGAAGAAGAGCAAGAGAGCGGAATCAGTAAGTAGAAAGTCTCACACAAACTTCAGCTTCTGTAGGACTTTGGCAAGAGCAGACGAGCTCACCCTCAAATGAAGTCTTATTATTATTTCATTAAATTTCTTCTTTGATCCATACATAAACATAAAATTGTACATATTATTGTAAACATTATACAAATTGCCCGTATTCTCTCCTCAACTATTCATCATTTTCAATGTGAAATTCTTGATAATTGGGTCTCAGTGAGAGTGGGATAAAAATATTTTGAGGTGTAGTTTCCCAATATTAGTGATCACTGTCCCCTTGTTTTTTCTTGCAAAATAAAAGCCCAGTGCCAAGAGCCTAAGGACAGCTCACATTGGATACATACCGCATGGAATTCTCAAGGAATTAATAGATGAAAAAAATAAGTTTTTTTTTCTTTTAAGAAAGAAAAGAGGAAGTCCCCTTTCTGAAACACTAAAGCGTGCGTCACTACATCCGTGTATGATGGGTGAAGGGCAGAGAGATGAGGCATCCCTGTATGGTGGGTGAAGGGCAGAGAGATGAGGCATAAGGCCATCACTTCCCAGGAGACAGCTGGTCTCGAGTCTCTAAACCACATGCAGGGTTGTTCCAGCACAGCTGGGGAAACCCGCCCGGGCCAGCCTTGCTGGAGAGTTGGGAATGTTTAGTTTCTAGAGGACATTTGTTTTTTTCGAACTCTCTCTCTCTCTCTCTCTTCCGAAATCTGGCAGGCGTTAGCCACCCGCTGCTCAGCAGGAACCCACAAGTGTGCTCCTGTGGCACTGCGACCTTCCTACCGGAGCCCCGCCCTTGGGCTCGCACCGCCTCACGAGAGCAGAGCGGTCTGCGCGCCCTGGTCTGGGGTGTCCTGAGGTCTCCAGGGCGCACAGCATACTGGGCTGTAAAGGATCGCCCCTGGGCGCCAAGTGCGTGCCTAGAGCAGGAAAGTTGTAAAGTGCTGCAAGGAGTTGGGCGGTCCGAGGAAAGGAGGCGGAAGGGGAGGACTCGGCTGAGTTCCCGCGGCGATCCTGGGGTCCCCGGCGTCGGTCCTGCAGCTCACCACCGCAGCTAGACGTCAGCTCTCCGGTTCCTGGTAGGCGCTAGAGACTCGACCCGAGGCCGGGAGGAACTTATCCAGCGAGCTGTCGCCTCGGGCCTTATTGTCTGCAGCAACTCTCCAGAATCCGGAGGGGGAAGACTGCACCGCGCGCCCACTGGGATTTGTCCAGAGTTCCGGTGGCAGCTGTGACGGCTGCAGAGACTCCCTTTGTCCTCCCAAGACCTCCCTCTCTGTTATTCTCGGTGGCAGCTGTCGGGTGGCGCTGAGGCTGGGTCGGTCGTCCCAGCTCCTCTCAGCCTTTGACCCCAGGGTGATTCCCTGGTGACTCCGTCTCTTCGTGTCTCTGTTCGCCAGAGCCAGGAGCCCAGACCACCGAGCTCCAAGCCCAACACACAGTGAATCAGAGGGAGCTGGCGGGCCCGGCCGCAGGATGGTAGCGGGTCTGTCCCGGGTGCGCAGCCCTGGGAGCTGGCTGATCCCTGGCCTGTGGCTGTTGGCTGTGGGCGGTCCGGGGTCGTTGCTGCACGCCCAGGAGCAGCCCTCTTGCAAAAAAGCCTTTGATCTGTACTTCGTCTTGGACAAGTGAGTGAAGGGGTCAGAGTTTCCCGTCTGGGCAACGCTGAGTCAGCTGGGACTGAAGTTGAGAGGTGTTAGGGTTCTGGCGAAGGGCAGTGGGAACTCTCCCTAGCGCACCCTGTTGCTGCTTCCTTTCAAAAAGCAAGCTCTTTGGCTGGAGAGGGGTGGTGGGATCTAGGGGCTACTTGGCTCTCCACTGCTTAACTTAGTCCTGGAGTCTCCTGGGAAGTGAGAGTGTAGTCACCTGCAATATATATCACCCCAGGAACTTTTTTTTGGCTCCTTGGTCCCTTTATCATACTCCCCCTACCCCCCTTTAAGCTCCCTAAAGTTTGGCCAATTTTGTCGTGCTCACAGTGCTTTCATGGGAGCCAAGAAAAGGCCTTAATATACTCAATGTGGTTTGCATTTCCTGAGAAATGAGGGCTTGTGTTTTTATTTTGAAAAGCTGGGTCTCACTTTAAACAATTCTCAAGCGAGCTGCCGCTAGAGAAGTATGGTCTTGCTTGCTTCCTCGATTCTGTCCAGACGCTAAAGTTTCTGCTTGGAAGGCAACATGAACTTCACTTGAAGAGGGGGCCAGAACCCCGCCCCCCGCCTAATGGAACAGAACTGAAGAAATGTTTGCAGTTTAGCCCCATGCTTTGTTTTTCTAATCAGTTAATCTTCATTTTTCAGGTCTGGGAGTGTGGCAAATAACTGGATTGAAATTTATAATTTTGTCCACCAGCTTACAGAAAGATTTGTGAGGTATGTTTCTCCACTTCACTCTTCTTGGCATTGGAGGGGAAACTGACGAAAGGGCCAGATTTCCCAAAATTTTGAATTTTAAGTGTCTCGAGGTGGCCCTTGTCCACAGGGTCTGTGGGGTCTTTCGGTTGTCCCTTGAAGGTTAGCTTCATCTGGCTCCCAGAAACTTGGCCCAGGCAGTGGGGAAACATCTTCAAATACAATTCTTAATGTCTTTTCCTTTTCCAATTTTCATCTGTTTTGAGTTTGAGTTATGCTTTCTCATAATTTATCACATTAAAAAATAAATTTTATTATAATAGTATCCATACTATATTTTCAATTCCACACACTTAGCACTGTAAATGTCCACATTTAAGGAGAAAAAAGTGTTGGAAAATTTTAAATGAACATGTGTTAATAACCTACTAACAGAAAAAGCACTTATGTGTGGTGTGTGTGCTTAAAAAAATGAGTTGTATTTACACAATGTGTGGGTGTGTGGCTGGTTTAAAATTTGACTGTTCTATATATGCAGGAGGCTTTAGTAGCAAACACTGTTTTGCTCGCCTATAAAAAGCATGGCTGCTAGGAAATCCAGCTTAGTCTCTTATTTAGAAGTAACTAGGAATTAGTGGCATCCCCAATTTAAAAATAATCCTTGGAAACTATGTTTTTGTGGTTCCCCCTCCTTTTTTTTTTTTTTTTTTTGAAGAAAAAAAATGCCAAGAACAAGTGCAAGTTTATCAGGATAATGGAAAGGACACCACTAAGAGCTGTGTCATCAAATATTGCCTCCTTCAGTCTTGTTAGCCCAAATGTTTTCTGTAAAACAGGCTTGGATGATCAAAACATTTTGAAAGTCATGTTGCAAGTAACTTCAAACAATCTGTAGAGGCCTAGGCAATCCCTGCTTTCGGTTATTGGCAAGCAGTAAAGCTATTCCTATAAAAATGTATGCCTGTCCATGTTCAATCATCAGTCGCCTGCCTCAGGAGCCAAAGAGAGGTTCCTGGACAAGTTCTGAGGTAAAGCAGTCTAGGAGAGAAAAATAAACAAGACCCCTCACCCCCATACACACATATAATTGTCAAAGGAGTAGAATAGGCAGTTGTTTATAGATTTTAAATTCGATCCTAGAATGTTCCAGAAGTGCCATACAGTGTTAATATTAGGCACTGGACCATTTCAGTGTAACATCTGAAGAAAATGAGGCCCCTTTTCACTGAATCTGGTTTGCAAGTTGGATTCTATAGCATATACAGTTTTCTAGCTTAATTTTAGTCACTCAGGTACTAATTAGACCTTTTAGGAAATGAATAAATGATGACTACTGAAAAGCACAATGCTGAAAGTATGACCTTCATCTTGCACCTTAGTTTCATATCTTTAGTTTCAGACTTGAGCAATATTTGCATACGCTTTTATAGAAAAAGGAATGGTTGTGTGACTTCAGTGCCTGAAGTCTAGGATATAAATTGGAAAGTTGAAAATGCCAAATAAAACAGTGATTTCTTAATGCTGTAAGTACTCTTGCTTGAGGGTGAGTTTTGTTTGAGCTCGTATCATGGCTGGCCCTTAACTCAGACTGGCTTCTCTTCAGCTCCAAGTAATTCATATCAATTACTCCGAAGGGCGTGGCCTCCTGCAAAGAGCTGAAGAAGATCGAAGGAAGGAACATTTTTCTAAGGAAGGAACATTTTTCTAAGGAAGAATTTTGCAGCCCCCTAGAATCCTTCCAGTTATTCTCTTTCTAGATGTAAACCCCAGGAGGTCATGGAGAAGTGTTCTGAGAACTGAGAAACACTGAATACATAAAAAGAAATGCAGCTCAGATAGCTAGCAAGGCCACCCAGCAGAGTTAGTGGACTTACTTAGAGAGTCCCATTTAAGGGAAGCTAGACTGTTGAGTGAGACTTATTTTAAATGAGACTCCCTGGCTCTGCCTCTGTACTGTACCAATATTTCTTTTCAAAATGTTTTAACTGTCTCTTTCCTTGTTTTGCAGCCCTGAAATGAGATTGTCCTTCATTGTGTTTTCTTCTCAAGCAACCATTATTTTGCCATTAACTGGAGACAGGTTAGTGCATTACCATTTCAATGCAGGCTTTTAGTAGAGATGAATCATAAAGGCATGATTGATATTGCCATGCGATGATTCAGGCCTCTTAGTGGGACCAAATGAATGCACAGACAATTCAGTTCCCTGCAGTAATAGAAGGGGGAGGCACTCTGAATAATATACAGTAGATCATCTGAAAATCAATATTATTTATTTTGCTTGCAAAATAGAGCTCATGTCCCTGTCTTCGTTGTGTATTCACTATTTCCCACCTTTCTCCCTCTCTTACTGTGAGCAGCTGCACATTTTTCTTAGTGAGATGCAGTATGTGAGTCCAAGAGGAATTAGAAGGAGGAGAGATGGGTATATTTGGGTAATTTATTAGGTTCAGTGGAGTGGATATTCCAGATTTCTAGGTCTCTCTGAAGTTCAGTGATGCTTAATTTATTTAACTTTATAAACACACACACACACACACACACACACACACACACACATACACACACACACATGCACACGCACACACACTGCTACCCCTCAGTGCTTCCCTATCCAATGTCATAGTCTTTCTTGTGGCCATTTCTATGCTGTTTGATCTTAACATGGCACTTTGGAATTAGTCACTCATATATCTAAATTATGGCTGCTTTTCCTCGCTTTATTATTGCTTACTAGACCATGAATTCTATAGTCAGAAATGGGATATTATTCTTCAATTTTGCTCATTTCATCTAATATGACGTGTGTAAACACCTTGTTTATGGATTATTGTTGAATGGATGAATGAGATGACATCATTTTGGAATCATATCTTTCTGGCTTATAGTTTTAAAGCAAGCTTTGAAGGATGTGTAGATTTTTGAAAAATGATTATGAAATAGTTTTTATTTTTGTAAAGCTCAGTTAATATGTATTAACACTTATTTCTTAAGGTTTCAGCTTTGAAAGATAAAAAAGCATAATATTTAAAAGGGCTCAAGGAGATAACTTGTTTACAGTTCATTGACTTGGCTTGGAACATTATATATATTGTAACGAGTGTGTGTGCATGCATGTGTGTGTGTGTGTGTGTGTGTGTAGGTGGATGTGGGTGTGTGGGTGTGTGTGGGTGGGTGTTTTCATGTAAACATGTTGTGAGTCCAGCCCAGAACTTCACTGTCTCCATTTGTACTTCATCCCTGTAAGTTAATATGTACACATGATTGTCAACAATTGCAGTTCCTTATAGTCCATTGGTATAAAGACTTTTGGTTTTATGAAAAGGAGATGTTTCTACTAACCAGTTTAATTTCCAAAGAGTCAGGTTTGGATATGGTGTGCTAAGGAAGAGCTTAGATTTAATATTTATGATATGTATGTATGTATATGTATATGGCAAAGCACTTAGCACAGTGCCAGACATGTTGAAGACTCAGTAATTGACAGCTACATACGTTGTGCCAGGGTTTCTGCTAGGCACTTTGCATATGAGTCCCCTGTCATTCTGAAGATGAAGCACAGTCACTGGTCGCCCAGCTTGATAATGTTTAGACATGTGTGGAGAGGATTTAAATCTTTTATCTAAGGTCAAGATATTTTGTTTGTCAGTGATTAAATCCAATGCAGGAGGTACTGAAATAGGTAGAAGGGACTGTCAAGAGCCAACAAAATGACACAGTTCAGAGTTGCTGTACTAGTCTACTTGAGTTCAAATCCTGCCCCTCCAGTTTACTAGTTGAGTGAACAAAGATAAGTTGCTTAGTACTAAACTCCGTGTGACTCATTTTATTCTTACCTACTTGATGGTGGTAATGAGGACAAAAGTAATTCCTACTTTATAAGATGGTTTTAAGAACTGAAGGTAGCAAATATAAGAAAGGATCCCACATGTTATATTCATGAGATAAGAGCTTTGGAGCCGGGGAGATGGCTCCATCAGTAAAATGCATGCATGCAAGCTTAGGGACCCTAGTTCAATCTCTAGCTATTGTGTAAAAAATGCTGGCTATGGTGGGTGCACACTTCAGTACCAGCAGTATGAAGGAAGAGACAGTGCATTCTCTGGGCTTGCTGGACAGCAAGGCAAGTCTAGCCTGATCAGCAAGCTTCTCACCAACAACAGATCCTGTCTCAACAAAAACAGAAAGAAAAACAGAGAATTGCTTCAGAGGCATTACACCCATTTCCTCTGGCTTCTACATACATGTGTACATACAAAGTGGCACAGATCTGCGTTACTCAGTGTCAGTTTTTCTGTCTCTAGAACACAGATATACAATCTGCCATGCTTTCTTTGAGTTATTGTGAAGATCCAAATAAGACAACAGGCAGAAGGAAACCTTAAATGTCATAGAATAATCTCCAATAAAGGGGTTACTTTCTTATAAGTTGCCAATTTACTAGTTCTGTTAATTGAATTGCTATCAACTTTCTGTGATTCTCTGTCTTTGGATATAGGTTCACTCCACAAATTTAAATTTAGAGAAACAGGTTGCTTGTTGAGATAGAAGATCATTGGGCAACTGTTTCCAAGAGTCATGTGGATCTTATTATTGAAACCTAGAAATTGGAGCACTCACTATTTATAAACTTTCCTAAGTGTGTGTGTGTGTGTGTGTGTGTGTGTGTGTGCGCGTACGTGCACACAAACAGATCTAAGCACATGATTTGAAAGACTATAGTTAAGCAAAAATAAAATTACACAGAGTTTCACAATTTTGGTTGTATTACTGATAGTTTTCAGTACTTTTCATATTTCTCAGTGGTTGCTAAACAGATAAAGCAAGATGGGAAGGCAGTGAATACTGACATCATGGCTGTGTCTTTGGTTTGATTTTAGTATGATGTCCAGTGTCATGGAAATTTCCCAAATCATAATCATAGCAGACAATTTTCAGTTATATATTTTTATATACTCATTGCTTAATTTTTATTGCATTAAATGCATTACTTTGTTCCCATGACTTTAGTTTCCCATGCACCTGCTAGGCCACTTACCCACTTACCTACCTACCTGCCATTCTGCTTTATATGTGGGATTTGGAGTTCACTTAGATAGTAATGTAATATATATGTGGGAAAGAGATAGAGTGTGTGTCAGGGCATGATTATATACATAAATAACCAAAAACTATATTAGAGGGTCAGGGGAGGGACAATATTCAGTATGTAAATATGTAGCCTCTCAGAATATGGAATCAGAATGAATTTTGAGGGTATTACTAGTTACTATGTCACATAACTGGGAATAGTGATTTTACCCAATTCTTCCCATCATTATTTCATTCTGTAATAATGATTTAAATAAAAACATTTGCTGAACAAGTAGTATGTGCTAGGTAGTCTTTAAAGTACTCTCTCTGCACAGCCTCCATTAACTCTAAGTTATTGAGTAACTCTAAGGTATTGTACTACCTGTACTTTGAGATGGTTCATCTATCTGGTCTAAGGACTCCCAGGAGTAAGTGCCAAGCAGTGTATGATTCTTTAATGTTTGGATAGCTTATGTCATTCTCATGCCTAAAACAGTCTCCCAGTGTTCTCTCAACCAATCCCCTCCCCAGTCATCCCTTTGAACACCACAGTCCTCTTCCCATCTCATGAATGAGCCAAGATTGTTTGCACATTAGGCCCTTTCTTCCTTCTCTAACCCAGGTCTTCTCTGAGGTCTTGTTATCTTCCTTTCCTGGGCTGGGATGTAGCTCAGTGGTAGATTGTTCATGAGTATGATCCTGAGTTTGAGCCTAACATCAAAAAACAAAGCAAAACAGACAAACAAACAAAACAAAAACCAAATGAATAAGTGGATGAGTAAGCAAAACTGCAAACCAACCAACCAACCAACCAACCAACCAACCAACCAACCAACCAACCAAATAAAAGCTCATCTCTCATATAACTTGAGAGAAGCTTTGCCTTCTCTCCCAGTCTAATGTATCCTTCCCCTTCCTCAGTATCTCCAAAACCACTGCCAAGCTATTATTTTTAAAATAATTAATTAACTAATTGATTAATTTTTATCTTCCTGAACCTAGAGTATATGGAAATACAGGGCCCTGGTTCATCTTTTTGGCTCATATACCCAGCCCTGGAACAGAACCTCTACATGGTAGAAGCTCAACAAATCCTTGTTTACTGACAGAGTTCTTCTGATGCCAGAGCCTCAGTTAGTGGATCAGAGCCACTGTAATAAAGTGTACCTTAGTTGTGTCAGCAATATAAATCTTGCCAATGTAATGTAAATACTCACTTGTATCTGCTACATTCCCAATTCCTGTTCCTACACAGCAAATGTAAATATCCCCACCTTCCTTTTCAGTATCTATATTTGCCTCATTAGGAAAATCTTGTCTACCCCAACTGGTCTTTAGATTTTGAGCACAAGATGACTTAGGAAAAATAGTTCCCGTGTGAACTAGTAGAGGTCATTTAATTAACTTTATACAATGGACTCATTTCTATTGTTTCAAGGAGTTTCTCCTAATTCCTTAAAAAAAAAAAAAAGAATTAAATATTTACTTGTGGGGAAGTTGTTCTTGACACACAGTTGATAACTCATCATTAAGTATATCTTTTTGTTTTTCCGGAAAAAAACTTGTTAGTATCTCTAAAAGTAAAGTCTCAAATATAAAATTCTACTTTTTGCACTGGCCCAGTGAAGACAGATGAAATCTGACAAATAATTATTTGTTATCAATTGATGATATTTTAATAGTTCTCATAGATGCATAGGATGGAATCCTATGCAATTGAGTAAATAAAAATACTTATATAAAATACATATAAGACATAGTATATGAAAAATAAAGTTGCAGAACACTTAACATGAATTTTTTTTTGTAAAAAGAGAAATAAAACAGAATTTTTTAATGTATGTGTTCAAAAACCCACGGACTAGAAGCCTGGAAGATAAATGATAAACTGTTAATGGTATTGTTGTGGGCAGGAGACTGGATATGGGGAGAATCATCATCATTTTGACCTTCATGTATTCAACAGAATATGTCTGTAGAAAGCTTTTAATGCCAGTACTAAGGAGA